ACTTAATGTATATTTAATTATGAAATCAGTTCAATTAAAGCTACAATGATATATTAAAGAATTAATTTACTGAACAAGGACAGATGAGCCATTAACCCTAAATTATATTTCTATTTTGAAGTTTTTGGGTTTTGTGCATGTATAGTTAGTCGATTGGGGTGAGCATTCATTTTTTTTATTTAATTTTTTACTATTTCGGTTCGATTTTTGATTAAAAAAATCTTCAACAAATAAACCGAATCCAAATCGAATAAGAATTTGGTTTTTCAGTTTAAAAACTAAAATTTTGATTTTTGATTTTTCAATTAAACCGAATATTTTTTTTAATTCTTTTTTTTTCTTTTGATATATATATTTTTTTAATTTATAGACAACAAACCGGAAAGAAAATGTAATATAACCACACTGCTATGTTGTAGTATTAATTACTATCTAGTTTGACTTACATTATCATGGATCAAATTTAGTTTTAAAAAAGATTAGATAAAACTATACATGGTTTCTGTCCTGCAAAAGAATTCATGGGTTTTCATCCAAAATCAATTTTTTTCTCTAATAAAGGGTAAAAAAAAAAAAAAAAAAAAAAAAAAAAAAAAAAAAACCTTAACACCTACATAAATCTCTGAAACAGAGGCAACTATTTGAAAGTTTCTTTAATCCAAGTTCAACACCCATATTATCATCACAAAATCATCAATGTAGTGGCGAATGCAGGATTAAATGTCCACAGAGGCCAAAATAAATATTTATAAATTTGTCATGCTTTACACAAATACTTATATATATGCATATCAACATATATTTTAAGATAGTCTTAAAATACAATCACTCAAAATAGAGATCTTCGTTCTTTCAAATCACGAAAATCATTTATAAGCGAATCCATACTAAATTTTTTAACAATTTCTTTTTCAAGTATACACTAAAAATATTAAGGATTATAGTAGCACTGGCCACTCTACTAATAAGTTGAATATATTTCAAAATAGTTGTTTTAGTAATATAGAACCTATAAATATAAACAAGAAAACTCGTTATTATAAACAAATAAACAATTGAGAATCTAATATATTAATCTAATTATGGTTGTGACTAAAATAATTAAAGATATTTTTTAATAATCATTAATGAAAGAAGAATGGTTATTTGTAAATTGTAATCAAGCGTTACAATTCTTTTTTTTTTTTTTTTTTTTGGGTCTAGAACTACAAGCACAACAATGACACAAAATTTCAATATTAATAGTACAATTTTAATTCAAGTCGATAGACTATCATAATTTTATTAAGCCATGGATCTAATATTTCAATAAATACCTTAATCACATAAAATAAAATTAGGAAGACAATTGATCTAATCTTTTAATTATAAAATATTATTTTAAAAATTGAGAGTTGTCAAGATTCAATCAATATATAAAATGAAAAACTTAATAAATTAATAATATAAATAATATAAATAATATAATAAGAGTTAATAAATTACTGATTTTTTAAGAAAATACATATTGTGTTGTCGAATAAAAAGATTCAGCTCGAGAGAAATATATATATATATATATATATATATATATATATATTTGTGTTTTAAATAGAATAAAAGTTAAAGGAAAAAGATAGAAAGAACGAGTTTAGTAATAATGGGAGCTAGTTGGTATCAAATTAAATAAACATTGATAAATCTACCCCCTAGCAAACACATAAAAACCGCTATTCAAAATCATATTATAAAAAAAAAAAAAAAAAACTCAAGCCATTTTGTCTCAAGTATCGATGTATTAAAGCACGGTAAGGCAGAGACCGTGCTAAGGAGCTCAAGCCATGTTGGCAGGGGCGGATTTTTTTTACTCAAGCCATGCTGGCAGGTAATTTATCTACTACTAAAGAATTAATTAACAAGTCAGGTAGCTAGGTAGCCATGCTAGTAGTTCCTAGGTTTTGTTTTATTTTATTTTGTTGATGAAATCAACCGTAGAAAGCGCTCGTAAAGAAAAGTTACAACCAAGTTAAGAAGTAATTAAATGCATGTAAACTAGACCAAGGTAGAGAATAGAGGGCAGCTACAGAGGTTTTTTAAAAAAAAAAAAAAAAAATCTTTTTATCGATGAATATGAGGGAAAGAAACAAATATTAAACACAAAATCATATTATAAAATAACATTAAAAATGCTCTGAAACTTCAAGAGTCTATCAGCTGAAAATTTTTGCATCCAAATAATAGCATTGGGAGAATCACATAGTAGTTCCTAGCTTTGCATGTAAGAAACAATCACAATAAATTAAATCGGAAGAATTATCATTAATATAACGAAAGAAGAAAATTGAAGAACTAAAGAATTCAGTTGATTCTCGTTTTCAAACAGAAGGAAAAAAATCACTAAAATTGATAAGCACTTACGGAGACAACCAATATGAGGAAAATAAAAACGTAGTTGGTGATGAAATCCATAACATCGATATTGATTTACTTATAGAAAATGAGCAATAAATCATGAATAAAACTAAATTTTTATTTTGTTCAATTGCACTCCTACTTTCCTTCAATTTTAGATTTTATTTTGTTCAATTACACCCCTATTTTCCTTCAATTTCAGCTTCCATTTTATTCAATTGAACCCTTCATTTTGTTTTCTCAACTATTAATCATTTTTTTGTTTTTTTATCCTTTTTTTATTTTCATTTTTTTATGAAAAATAAATAAAACTAAATTAAATTAACCCAATTTTTATGTTTTCTTTTCTTTTCTCTCTCTCTCACTCTTTTTTTTTTTTTTTTGCTTTTTGATTGTTGATTTTTTTTTTTTTTTTTTTTGATAAAATGAAGGATAAATTATACTAAAAAACTAAAAAAAAAATTAAGTAGAACCAAAAGTAATAATAAAATAAATGTGCACACGTAAAAATTAAATTTGTAAAGATAAAAATCGTGAAATAAATAAATAAATAAAAGAGGAGGGCAAATTTTTTGTTATGATATGGTCAATAACTTATTGAACTTTTTATAATAGGATGAGATGAGATATAATCAATATAAAATAAATTTAGTGATCAAACTTTTTGATTTGAGCATTAAACGTACAATACTTTTGGTAACGAGTGACGATATCGATAGAAGTAATAAATAAAGTATAAATTAAGATAAGAAGTAAATGCATTGTTAATATTACTTGTGCAATTAATATAATGCAAAAAGCTATGCTGCATACATGTATTTGTTGATGTTGAGATTTAAAATTATATGATTTTCTATAGCTAGAGAGAAGTTTTGAGATAGCACATAGATATAAAGATTATGAAAGCACAAAAATACATGAAATTTATTTATCATGAAGAAGGAATGGATCAGAATAAAAGAAAGAAAGAGATATTTGGTGTAAGAAAACTGCATTTTGGATGCCGAGCCATTAAATTTTTTATTTTTATTTTTTTGTATATTTCAATGCCTAACTTTTAATTTTTTTTTTTTTAAATTTAAGTATCTACAACCATCTGAAAGCATGAGTTGCTGAAGTACTTAGAGTTGAGTGTCACATTACATTTTTTATTGCAACATGACATTTTTTACTGCTATGTGGCAATTCTAGTCAGACACATTAGCAAAATTGAGTCTAAGATGAATTTATGTACTAAAACAATCAAAAAATTAGGTGCAAATCATTAAAAATTGATAATTGGAGACCAACTCGGAAAAACAATCAAAAGTTGGATGGAAAAAAATATCACTCCCATTTATATACGCGCATATATATAATTCTGGTAAGTTGGTCGCTTAAGTAACCCACCACTTTCACTAGGTTAAAGCTCGGTCTAGTTCCATAACATTGGTTAAATAACTGATTCTTAATTAAGTTAAAAGATCATGAAAAGTGGCAACACTTTTTTTTATTATTTAGAGCAATGCAATTATTTAATATTTGAAAAAATCAATTTGATTCATAAATTTATTATAACTTTCGGACATATTTTATTTAGATGCAATGTAATTATTTAATTTTACAAGCATTTACAAATTATATTATAATAATACAAAGTATTTGACAAATCAAATTGATTCATAACTCTATTATAACTTTCAGTGATTGGGGGGGGGGGGGGGGCTCAATGACCTCCTGAAGCCTTCATTTCTACAGACCCATTCGGAAAAAAACAAACATAAAATTGGAATCAATGTTCTGCTAAAACATTTTCTCAACTGTCTTTGCAAACAGAAATCAATGTAATTATAAACGGCAAAAGCTGTACAAAAAAAATTCAACAGGCTCGAGAAAGTCACAATAAAACCATCTTTGTACGACCAATGGGCTTAAAAAAATGTAAGGCCAGTTCCATTGAAATTTTCCAACTAATAGAAAAAGCCAGCAACTAAAAGGTGGGTCAGATTTTCCATTCAACCACGTCTTTGAAATCCTGCAATGGTTCAGATAACTTTCTAAACCAGTTTCTCTTCACAATCTATCTAGAATACCACACAACCTTTCCTCTAGAATCCAGATTTTGAGTCAATGGCATGATCACTCTATTCCTGTTTATATATATATGGTGTATATAAATAGGAATAGAGTGATCACTCCACTGACTCAATATCTGGATTCTAGAGGAAAGGTTGTATGGTATTCTAGATAGATTGTGAAGAGAAACTGGTTTAGACAGTTATCTGAACCATTGTAGGATTTCAAAGACTGTGGTTGAATGGAAAATCTGACTCACCTTTCAGTTTCTTTCCACTGAAATTTTCCAACTAATAGAAAGAGCCAGCAACTTAAAGGTGAGTCAGATTTTCCATTCAACCACCATCTTGGTTCAGATAACTGTCTAAACCGGTTTCTCTTCACAATCTATCTAGAATACCACACAACCTTTCCTTTAGAATCCAGATATTGAGTCAGTAGAGTAATCACTCCATTCCTGTTTATATATATATATATTAAAAAAATAATAATAATAAACAAAAAAACAGAAACAGCAAAAAACAAAAAACAAAAAGGTAAGTTAATATAAAAACTTACATGATGGGATAGGTCACATTTAAGCAAACCCTGCCTATTCCTTCAGGGTAGCGCTCAAAATCCATTCCCCGTTTCACGTACATATACCCATCCACACCATAACCAACACCTCTAGAGTTTAGGAAAATCCATGCTTTACTATTGTATCCAATTGCCGCCATCATATGCAATACATATTCAAACTTGTACTCTGTGGAATAAATTCCCTGCAAGAAATTGAAATACAATATAAAATTAGCTATTTAATCACCTCATCAACATTTTTTCAATAGTTTTTTTTTTAAAGAAAAAACATAGATTTTTCTTATCACCTTGTTCTCCAAAATGAGCTTATTTTGAAGAAAAAAATAATAATAAATTAGCTCCACATCTCCCTATAAAGTTAGTTTCCAATAATATCACAACATATCAAATTGCAGCTATATATATATTTATATAGATGTAATCTCTCCAAATTAACAATTTTATTCGCATGTAAATTGCACATGATTAATTAATAATTAGTTTTGAAAAAAAAAAATTAATATATAATAATACTTTACGTTTTTATTAAAAAAGAAACACTAGAAATTACTGTATAAATAGAAGAAAGTTAAACGATAAACCAGGTCAAATAACTGTTCGAAACCCGTTAGCTTCACTGAAGCAAAAGATGGCTGCAAAAATTATTCCAATCCTGGGTCATTTTGGTCTATCTAGCCACATAACCAACAGCTGATCCTAGGTCATTTTGGTAACTCTAGCCACAACCAACAATCTTTATTTATTTTAAAATGATAGCAGGAGCTTACTTTATAATGTCGATATATATTAGCGGTAAATATGATTATCATTGCTATTATTATCTGCTAGATATTAGGAGTGTTAATGTTATCCCTTAATTTGAAGAATTCTAATTATGCTTATCTCTATCCCTAGATTAGGTAGTTTCCTACTCTAACTCCAGGACTCATTGTATATATATTCTGATGCATTGTAACCTACGTAAGAGTGAATATATAATTTTTCCTCTCAATTTTCTTTAACATCGTATTAGAGCCTTGGGGTTTCTTTGCTGAAATTCTGCCACTGTACAACCTTCATTGCTATCATTTTTCTTCAGTTTTTTTTCCACAACCTTAATTGCTGTAATTTTTTCATTGTTCTTTTGTTTCTAAACCTTTTGTTCCTTCACTATGTCTACAACCGAAACTTCCCATCTCAGAGTAAATAAATTCTGTCCACAAACCAGGCGAGTTACAAAACATTAAGGCCTCCTATCGACTCAATGGAAAAAACTATCTAAAGTGGTCTCAATTCATACGTACATACCTAAAGGATAAAGGGAGACTTAGCCATATCACAGGAAAGGGACCAGAAAAGAAAGACCCAGCATTTGAAGCATGAGATGAAGAGGATTCAATGATTATGACATGGCTTTGGAACTCGATAGATCCTATCATTAGTGACACCTGCATGTTTCTTGTTTCTGTAGAGGAGATTTGGGAGTTCATCTGGAGTACCTACTCAAAGGATCGTGATGCAACCAGAATTTGAGGTAAAAATCAAAACTGGGCCAACAATACAAGGAGACAAAACTGTTACAGAATATGCCAATATCCTGCAGAATTTATGGCAAGAATAACTAAAATACTTGATAGGTTCCCTTGAAAAACCATTTGAGGCTTGTTCATTAGCTTTTTCAGGTAAGTCTTCATTCTCCACTTGCATATATGTCTCGGATACAACCTATACCAATTCATAGATAATTGATTCCGGAGCCACAGACCACATGACTCATTCATCACAGTTTTTCCATACCTATAACCCCTGCCCTAGTAATAGGAAGATCATAATGGCAAATGGATCCTTGGCTACTATTGCAGGTGTAGGAAACATCATGGTTACACCTACTCTCACTCTTAAAAATGTACTTCATGTGCCAGAATTATCAACCAATCTAGTGTCAATCAAAAAACTTATGATCTTAAATGCTTTGTAATTTTTTCTCCTTCTTACTGTGTTTTGCAGGATCAAGGCTCGGGGAGGAAGATTGGACTTGCTAAGAAAAGGAATGGCCTCTATCATCTTGATTCTTCTCGAAGTATTATGAATAACTTGTCCGTGTCTTTGTTTAGTTCTTCCAATAAAGAGATCATTTGGCTCTATTACCTTTGTCTTGGTCATCCTACGTTTAGAGTCCTTAAATTCATGTTTCCTAACTCTGTTCAAAGGATTAGACATTTCAGATTTTCATCGTAAAATTTGTGAGTTGGCAAAACACTCGTATATCTTTTCCTATCGGTAATTAAAGAAGTTCTAAACCTTTTCATTTGATCCATAGTGACATATGGGGCCCTTCTCCTGTTTCAAATATCTCCGGTGCTAGATGGTTTGTTACCTTGATAGATGATTGTACTCGAGTTAGTTGGCTTTATTTACTTAAACAAAATCTAATGTTAGCATTGTTATCCCTACTTTTCTTTCTATGAGTCAATCAATTTGGGGTCAAAATTAAGAATTTTAGGTCGGACAATGCTAGGGACTACTTCAACCGCACATTGACTACATACTTTCAAAAACAGGGAATCATTCATGACTCCTCTTGTGTTGACACACCCCAACAAAATGGGGTGGCTGAACGCAAGAATGGGCACTTACTCAATGTAGCTAGGGCCTTACTTTTTCAGAGAAATGTTCCAAAATCTTATTGGCGGGAGGCTGTCCTCACAACCACTCATATGATCAATAGACTGCCTTCTCAAGTTTTATCCCATAAAAGTCCCATGGAAGTACTCAATACCTTTTATCCAGAGTTTCGAATTTCTAATGGACTCATTCCTAGGGTATTTGGTTGCACAGCCTTTGTTCACATTCATAGTCATCGGAGAGGAAAGTTAGATCCCCGAGTACACAAGTGTGTTTTCCTTGGTTATTCTTACCAAAGGGTTGAACAGCTCTAATTTTTATGATAATATTTCCAAGCTGGGAATGGAAGATATCTATTCCTCAGCTTGAGAGGGAGTGTCAAAATATATATTAGTTGTAAATATGATTATTATTATTATTATTATTATTATCTCGCTAGATATTAGGGGTGTTAATGCTATCCCTTAATTTGAAGGACTTTAGTTATGCTTATCTCTATCCCTAGATTAGATAATTTCCTACTTTGACTCTAGGACTCATTGTATATATATTTTGATGCATTGTAACCTACGTAAGAATGAATATATAATTTTTCCTCTCAATTTTCTTCAACATATAATATTTATAATATTAGGGTTACTTCATTTACGATCATGTGATCAGCTTTTACTCATGGATTAAGACTAAGAATCTTTTCCTACAAGAAAAAACAGCCCTTTTACTATAATAAAAAAACAACTATGATATTTTAATAATTTTATAAAGAGTATGTTCTCTTTTTCAACAACTAATCATTAGCTATATTAGCTATCTTTAGCGAAAAGATTTGTATTAAGATATCATTGCATATAGAGACAAAGGACCCAGCTTCTCGAATAACTAATAGAGTGAAATAAGCCTTTTCTTCACCCCTTTTCTTCCTACATCTAATTGGTAGCGAAACGATCCTCAAAATGGTAGTAAGATTTCATTTCAGAAGCAAATACATATAGAAACAAAAGAGCTTTTCGAAAAGACCCTCAATCACTAATTGAGCGACAGAAATTTTGAGAATTTAAGAGTGGAAGTACAGTAATGTACGATCAATTAGATCAGGTATTCACCATCTGCAACTCTTTTTTATTGATGAGATTGTTGAATGAATTAATTGTTGGATAAGGTGGCTGTGTTGTGGGTGGCGGTGGCAAAAAAAAAAAAAAAATACCCTCCAGCTTGCTAACTGATCCATTTATTGCTATATAAGGGAGGATTAAAATTATTTTTCTTTATTTCAATGTAGAAATTTGTTTCATTAAAGCTAAAAGAATAATAAACAAAAAATTGGGTTTTATATGAAAAATTCTTGAAATAAAATAAAATTAAAAAAATATATTCAAAGGCAAAGTAAGAGAATAAAAAACATTACAATGTATTGCACTATTTCAATATATATTATCATTATTTGTGTGTGTGTATATGGAATAGACGACACACCTCTTTGTAACTCTCGTAATCTTCTTTCACCAACCATAGCTCAACAGCAACAGGCTGTTGAGCTATTGCAAGCTCCATCCAGCTTTCATCTTGCACCGGGACAGTAGCATAGCCATCAATATAGAATTTTTCCTATTAGAATCAAACAAAAAATATATTAACATTTAATAAAAACAAATTAATAACAATGAAACACTAATGAGAATAAATTTAATTATACCTTCGAATTAAAAGCATCAAAACGACATGGACTGTAGTATTTAGTCCAAGGATAATCCGCTTCTAAACACACACCGTTGTTGCCAATGTAATCATAGGCTGACTTGATATCATATAAACCTGCTTCAAAATCGAACTCTTCACAGCAGTCTACAATCTCTTTGGCAGATAATATCACCTTTTCACCAGTTTGTATGAAGATCAAACTCTCCATACATGAGGTTAAAGTTTGAGCAGTACAAGAATCTAAGAAAACAAAAAATGAAAACTTATTTTACATCAAAAAGAAACAGAACCCAAACAATACATATTTTATATAATACGAAACCCAAACCCACAGATAATAAAATAAAGATTAAACTTACTAGTGTCAGTTTGATCTTTGATTTTCATTATAGCTCCTTTCGACCTCCAATCCACACTTTCTGGAAGAGTATCCAAATTGGGATAAAAGTGACCAGGTCCACTTGCATAAACCTGCACCTGCATATGAAAATTTATCAGATAATAAAAGATAATTATTAATCAAAATCAAAATCAAAATTCAAACATCTTACAACACAGTAAGGGACTCTCTCACCTTTCTAGGAGAGTTATTTGGGTAATTTACCAACCATCTGCACCCATCAATTTGGGGAAAAACTGCAGTAGAACAAGTTCCATTGACCCACTTCCTCTGTAGAAAAAACAATTCACTGTTTAGGGAAGGGCTCAAAAATACAGAGAGTCTAAGCACACACTTCCAAAAAATTCTCAAGCTGTCATTTCAGAATGACATAAATTTCAATCAAACAGATTGAATGGTAAAACAAATGATAGAGAATAAAGAATCTCGTGTTAACGCAGAAAATGAGGTACTCACCAAGGATAACCGAAGCGGCTGTTGCTGCTTTTCCACGAACTCTGATGAATCTCTTCTGTTGCCTTGCGACCGAATCAAAGGAAAGGAAGATTTAAGAGAAGGTTGAAAAGGTTTAAGAAAAGTAGTAACCATTGTGATTGCCATGGCTAGAAAGTATATAACCTAATGAAATTTTGGCTGAAGAGAAATTATAAAAGAAAGTAAAGACGAAGAACAAAGAAAAATAGTTTTTCTCTAAGTAGAACAAAAGATTTATATTCTTGCACACGTAAGGAGCGTGGAACGGGATAACCAATCTGTTATCAACTACTGAAAATTTAATCTCGTGTGTACTTTATGTATTTAATTTGTTAACGCCGCGGTATTTGTCACACAAACTCACGTGCAAAATACATCTACATCCCCAATCTTATTAAATTATTATTAGACATATGAAATGTTGTGGTAGTACTTTCTAAAAACAAAATTATATGCCCATAACCTAGATGGCTCACCAATAACCAGTGGATCACTAATAAAAGTGTTGCATTTAAAAATAAATTTGTGGTGATCACCGAGTAAATCATACAAGGAATATTTCATCAGCAATTCTGACCAAAATAATAATAATAATAATATACGAAAATAAAATATAATTTTTATTTATTTATTATTTTTTGTGGAATTCTTAAGAATTTTTAGGAAACAATGAATCTTTGAAAGGCCCCCTCATTAAAAGGCTTCCGCCGCTGTGAGATGAGACATGCTGTAACAATATGCTCTTTTATGTCAATTGACTAGGAAAGGATAAAATTTTACTATTGTATTCCAATTTTAGTTAGAATAATAAAATAAAGAGAATATTTTATTTTGAAAATACTTATAATTTTTAAACACTTAAAATGTGATTTTCTTGTGTTATGAGAAGTAGTGATGTGGTGTTTCTCTCATATTTTTGTAAGTTTGAAGGGTGTCTATAATTTCCAGATTAATTTGTTCGAAATTCATAGATCAGGAATCTAGTTTAATTGTCCTTAAATAAATAAATTTGTTTTTGTTTCCCCAGTATAAGTAGAACAAGAATTCTATTTATATCAATCAAGTCCTATGCCAGTTTGAGAGCACCAAAAAACTACTAACTACTACAAAAATTAAACAAACTGCCAGTTTTCTACTTTTATAGCTATATGATCTTTTAATAAGGAGAATGTTTTCATAGTGAGGTGCGTTTATGGTAATGTGATTCAATGCAATCAATTTTAGTGAGGTGTGATTTCTAAGTAATATATGTTTAAATTCCTTCACCAATTCCAAACCCCAATCCCTTTGTGATACAAATTCTCATTCAACTCCGAACATACTTATCAAACTTCCAGTCTCTAACCTTTTAACCAACCCCATCTTTAAAAGCCTTGCAACAAATTTCCTTATCAACGGTTTTTTAAAGAGGATAAAATCCATGCAAACTGCCCACTGAATTTTATGTATGGATTGGAATGGCAATGGATTAGATATTTTTTCTATTAATTTAATTCTTTATTTTGTTTATTAAAAAGAACATTATGCCTTACATTCACAAAAAAATTAACTCTTTAAACTCATACTCGACTCATACCCTATTTAATTATCTACCCATTAAAAATAATTCATCAACATATTTCATTTTGGTGCTTGTATTTTTTAAAAAACGTTATTTTGGCTTTTAAAAATTAATATTTTTACAAGTTGGACCTTTATTTATATGTTTTTTGAACTTCAAAGTTTTTATAAAAATATGTTGATCACTACTATATAAAATTTGTGCAATTAAATCCTTGCATGTAAATTTTTTTTTTTCAAGAAAACATCTATGAATTGAATAGATGAAACGTGGCATGAAAACTTATAAATATTAATATGGTATAAATTGAGTATCCACAACCTTAAATTATACTAGTAAATGTGTATTTTGTTTTTTCTTTATCATCTTAATATCAATTATATATTTCCTATATAGTAGGGTAGAATGTATGTCCATTTCATATGCAGCTCATTGTTATCCCTAAAATAAAAACTATAATGGATTATTTATAACGAAGTTCAAATTTTTTGTTCGTTTTTTATTATGAGAGCGAGAGATTCCAGTAGTGGTCATCACAGATTCACAGATTATATAGTGCCCAATTCGGGCATCGAATAAAGAAAAACTAGACAAAAGTAACATTTAATACTTCCTAGAGTTTTAAGTGACTGCAAGCAAAGCCCAAGTTGAAAATGCATCACCAATAAAATGCTAACAGGTTGAAAAGTTTAAAAAAATCTTACCAGTTTGTCGTTTTCACTTCTCTTCTCCAACCACTTTAGCTCCTTGTTGACCATGCATACTATGGTCCAGTGTCATCGGGATCAAGGCGAAATGATTCTGAAAACCGGCCTCAAACAAAAACTTTTGAGGCCCAAAACATAAAATTTTCAATTAGAATCATTGTACAAGAAACGAGGGTATCCATACGCAAATGTCATAAATACCTAATGAATAGATTCTCTAGTTGCAATTTGGAATTGAAAAAACTTATCAAAAGAATTTGCTAACTTTGACAACAAAAGCAGCAAGTAAAAAACCGAGCCAAAGACATTGTAAGTCAAATTAGTACAATATGCAAATCCAGAGTAGAAGTTAATTATGTAAGAGGGTATAGGGCAAAGCCTTTTCTCATTTCATCTTTTTCACGTTAGGTTAGTAGCTACAGGAGTAACTAAATTGGAGTATACCAAGCATGGATGACGACCTAAAGCAGCCAGCTTAAGGTAATCGCCTGAATTAGGCTTCAATGTTTTATTGGAAATCCTAAAAAAAAATAATAATAAAATAAAATGAAGTCCATGGATGCTATATACCACATTAGTTGTACGCAACAGAAAAGTTGGTTCCAAAGATTCAGCATTTGTCCCTCACATGGTAATTCCTTCAATTATAGCAAAAATATCACCTTTTCTTTTCTTTCAAATGGCTCATCTGACCATCGCAGGGGTTAGTCCGGATGGTACTACCTCCGTCACTTGATGTGGAGGTTGGGAGTTCGATCTCCTCTGTAAACCAAAATGTTAAATAAAAGATAGCCCAAAGTTTAGCTTAATTAAGTGTCATTAATATGTAACGTAAAATACTGCTAATTAGATATAATTCAATGTTTTATTGGAAATCCTAAAAACAAATAAATTAAAAAGAAGTCCATGGATGCTATATACCACATTAGTTGTACGCAACAGAAAAGTTGGTTCCAAAGATTCAGCATTTGTCCCTCACATGGTAATTCCTTCAATTATAGCAAAAATATCACCTTTTCTTTTCTTTCAAATGACTCACGTGACCATCGCAGGGGTTAGTACGGATGGTACTACCTCCGTCACTTGACGTGGACGTTGGGAGTTCGAGCCTCTATGCCGCTTAGATTAAGAGCCCCGATCTCCTCTGTAAACCAAAATGTTAAATAAAAGATAGACTAGATTTCAGATACAAATATATGAATTTATATAAAAATAATTATTTATAGTTCAATCTTTTTTTTTTTTTTTTTTTAGTTTCGATAATAAGAGGTATTTTTAGATTATTTTAAATGTCAAAAAATTAGAAGATTTGAATCCAAAAAACTAAAAAACAGAAGAAAGTTTTGGGATTAAACCCAAAGTTAAACCGAAGGTTAAAAGTCAAAAACCAAAAAAAAAACCCATAAAATGCGAACGTCCTTACATGGACAAAAATCCCTTATGTTTTATTCCTCTGTCAAAAACAGTCTGTCTTCTTTGATTTTTCAACTGGGCAGTCAAATTCTCCGGATCTCACTCTCTCTTTGAACTCATATATATTAGAACTGCTGACCTGATATATCTTTTAAGTGCCCTTTAGCTATTAGAAAATAAAAGGAATGAAAATAAAAAATCAAAATAGAAGATTAAAAAAATCAAAATGATGCTATTAACAGAGACATCTAGGTAATGTAAGAGAAGTAATCAACTCCATGATGAATGTGTTGCCATGGAAGGAGGAAGACTGAACCTTGAATGTACCTTTTGGATTTTTGTTGTTTTTTTTTTTCCCTCAATTTGTGTGGTGGCCGAGAGGAGAAGGGAGGATTCAGTGCTGGGTTATCTGATTGCGAGATCCATCAAGTTTGTTTGTGGTTATGGGGTTTCATGGGAGAGGATTATTCGTGAAGGAACTTTTCTGTGCTTTCTTATGAGGTTGGTGGTGCTTCAAATTCAGAAGATATTTCTAGATCCGGCCGGTAGGAGTTCTTTTGTACATCACAAGCGGAGAGACGCAAAGGGAGACCTGGAGATTAGAAATCAATCACAGAAAGGGAGAGAATAAAAGTAGCGTTTTGGTGGCCAAAACAAGTAGATACAAAAAAGGAGTTCGGTGATGCTCAAAATACACGTAAGGGGACAACCTGATTTGAGAGGCCAGCTTTCAATAAAAAAACAGATACGCCTTAAAGACCAATATCATAATGGGGTTTGGGACTCCGGGTTAAAGTGTTTCTTTTGTCTTTTTTTCTTCTTCAAAAAAAATAAAAAGGGTTAAGATTTTTCCTATGTTTGGATATTTCTTTTTAGGAAGAAAGAAAAGAAAATAAAAAGAAAGAAAAATGAGAGAAAAGAAAATTATTTTTCACTTGTTGTTTAGATAAGAGTAGAAATGAAAGAAAAAAATATATATTTTTATTGTTTGGATAATTATAAAAAGAGAGAAGAAAGAAAATATATTATTGTATATTTACTATAATACTCTTATAATTACATTTCTATATTTAAATACTTATAATAAATTTGTATGAATATTTTTTTCATTAAAATTACATAAATGATAATAAAATAAAAATCTAGTATATAGTATCTAAGATTACATTCTTTAGTGATAATAATTCTGATATATTAATGTTAAAAATATCAAAAAGTATCTTAAAAAAATCAAATTAATGATAATATATTTTTATAAAAGCATATTTTTATAAAAATATCAGAAAGTATTTGACTCCGGGTTAAGTTTTTCTTTTGTCTTTTTTTTCTTCAAAAAAAAAAAAAAGGGTTAAGATTTTAAGATGGGTTGATACGGATTTAAAAAAATAAATAAATAAGAATTTACAGAATGGATTTTAGTTATTACGTAAATCCACGTGAATACATGCCTTATGAGGCCAGCGAATTGATATATTGACAGCTTTTATTAGAAGATTTACGAAACGATTAGTTTCAGGTTTTTTTTTTTTTTTTATGTAACATTGAGGAATTTTTTTTTAAGTGTATTCTTAAGTCAAAGCAAAATTTCAAGATTTAGAAATATCTTCTCCATCTAAAAAAAAGATAATTATACTATGAGTATAGCAAGCAAAGATGATAGAATTCATACCTAGAAACTGAAGAACTCCGAACAGGTACAACTCTTATTTGAACTAAATGAAAAAAAAAATGATTTTCAACTTTTTTTTTAACCAAATATATAAATTTGAATTTTTTTCATTTTAGTATACTAATTTTTTCAAAACTATCAATTAAATATTTTTATCAATTTTTTTATTAATTTATGACGTGTTTATTATTCTTAAAATATCAAATTATAATTTTTTTCTCAGTAGAATACATAAAATTTTTTAAGTTTTTTTAGATTGAGCACGCTATTTTTTTCAAACTATCAATTCAATATTTTCATCAATTTCTCTATTAATTGATAACGCGTCCAAATACCAAATCATATTTTTTTCATTTTTGGTTGTAAAAAACTCTCTTTAAAATATTTTATCATTTTAAAATTTGATAACAAATTAAAAAAAAATTATTTTTAGTTATAAAATCTCAAATTAAACTTAGTAAGACTTACTAAAAAAAAAAATCAATTAGATTTTGAAAGTGAAAGCTTAAAAAAAACACAAACAGAAGATTTATTTCTATTTATTTTTCAGTTTTTTTCCTGAACCTAACATTTTTTTTAACAACGACCTAACTGAATTTAGTTTGAAATTTTAAAAATAAAAAGTATATATTATTTTAATTACTTGTCAAATTTTAAAATGATAAAATAATTTAAAGAGAAAGTTTTCTTTAAAAAAAAAAGAGTAAAATTATTTGAATAAGTTATCAATTAATGAAAATTTTAATAAAAATACATGATTGATAATTTGAAAAAAATTAATATGCTCACATAAAAAAATTAAAATTCATATCTTCGATAGAAAAAAATAAAAAATTATAATTTGATATTTTGAAGGTAATAAATAAGCAATCAGTTAATAAAAAAATTAACATAAGCACTTGACAAATAATTTGGAAACAGTAAACGAAAATCAAACGAAATAAATTAAAATTCATATATTTGATTGAGAAAAAATTAAAAATTAATATAATTATGAAAGGAAAAAAAAAAAAAAAGGCATATCCAGACCAGAGAGATCACTGGACCACCCGTGCGAACCCAAGAGGTTTTTTTAATCATTGAGTCGAACTCCTAAAGAGAATCTCTGCAAAACCGTGAAAGACCTTTTGCGCGCAGTCACTATACTTGTTAAGGAAGAAAAGATCAGATGAGATGATTGCCTTTCGTGGTTTCTTTAATTCCACATTTACATCACTTTTTTTTTTTTTTCCAAACCTCCCACTGTAACTGGGATTAGAATGGTAATTGGCGGGTGCCCATCCATTTAGCCTTTGTTTTTTATTTTTTTAATTATCACTTACCAGATAAAATGCCCATACCCATATTGCTCCACCCAAATATCATATTAAAGGAAAAACAAATCAATTGTTAAAAGGAAAAAGAAAAAAATGGATTTTTATAAAAGATAAAGACTTCAAGAATGAAACATGTACGTCATTTAAGTGGTTTTTTTTTTCATATTCTAGTGAAAGGTATTTAGATCAAAAAAATTTGTTTATAACAAAAAATTTTGATTAGAAAAACCTATTGAATATTTCAAAATTATTTAAAAATAAATGAAATGCAATTGCATATCTATAAACAAATGAAAAACTTTGAATATTATATAAAAACAAATAAGTATATTTATAATTATAAATGTAATAATTTATTCTACTTTTGAAAAAGAAAATAAATAAAAACACAATTTTCTCATCCATTTTCACTCTCTATTTCCATTCATTTTAAGTTCTAACCAAAATTTTTTTTGAATTTTTACATTATGCTTTTTTGTACCAAACAACAACTTGAGCCGAGTACATTCTTCGCCCTTACGGCCTTTTTTGACCGGTTTTCGGTTAATCAAATTGTCTAAAAAAATAACCGAAACCGAACCGAATTATTATTCGGTTTTTTTATTCGGTTTTGAAATATATCGATTTTTTTATTCAGTAATTCGGTTTTCACCTGTAATTATCTATACTTTTGATTTTTGAAAGGATCATGCACTTACGAAAAAATAAATTTAGCATTTGTATTGCGATTTTAGGCTATGTTCCTATATGTATACGTTTTCAATCTCATTGAACTTTGTCTATTTACTATTATTTTACTACTCCTCAATAGGCATTACTAATATATATATATATATATATATATATATATATATATATATATATATATATATATATATAATACGAGATGTCATCATTACCATATAAAATCTAATAATATATAATATATGTTATTGTCTATCAATATCGATAGATAATACCATCAAATATGTGTTACAATTAAGACATTTTAACAATTACTTCTAAAAAGAAACAAAGCGTGCTTTGAAACTCAAATATAACTCGACTTATTTATCTTTATGAAAGACACTTTTAATTAACTTGACGTAATTAGAACTAATAATTTTGGATAACTTGTTAAACAAGTACAACCATAAGTTAACTTTTGCTAATTAAATGGCAATGTTGTTTTTGAATAATGAAGAACATTAAAACTTTAAACATTCAACTTTCTTTAGCGCAATTTTAAATTATATGTGTTTACTAAAAAGAGACATACTAATTATTATCGGGGTCCATAAATTAACTAGTTTTTTTTACATAGAAAAAAACAAGTATCTCACATCTTTTTTTTTTAAACTATAAATTGAATCAAGAAAGAAATTATGTACCTCGTTGGGCGATTATAAACAAGAATTGGTTATGGTCATTTGACGTTGAGCCAGTTGGCTCATGTAATCAATGCAACAAGAATTAGGTATGGGCAAATTGATTTAACTCCAATTAGCTTAGGTTTGCGTGAGAGTGTGAGGATTGGAATAAACGATGTCATTCATCGATGAATTTAAAAATAAAAAATTTAATAATTTCGGTTATTTGGTTTTAACTCGAATTAAAAAAAAAAACCGAAATCGAAAACCGACTATATTTCGATTTACTTTTTTTTTAGTTTCTAAAAAAAAAACCACATTGAAATTGATATTTTGGTGCGGTTATTCGGTTTTCACTAAATAGTAAACACCTCTAGATAAAATCCACAATAAAATTTCAAAGGAAGTGAATTAATTTCGATAAAATCCTAATGTTCTTCCAATTTTAGTATTCTGATCGGCGGAGGGGGAGCCATAGGTACTTTGCACGTAAGATGCCATTGATTACGTGGTTACCGAAATAAGCTAACGAGTTCCTCCCAAGCACTACTATGTTAGAACAAAATACATAGAAAAGCAAAATCGATCTATAATAATCAAGGTCAAGACTTTATAATATATGTGACCCTAAGCAAAATAATATTTTAGAGACTATTTCATAATATATATATATATTATTTAAATTTTATTTTTCTTGCTTTTACGAGATGCAAAATCTCTAATTAAATTTTTATATTTAAATTTACAAAGCAAATCTTTTTCAATTGATAATTTAGCCAAATTACTTAATCTTTCTTGTGATATAGTTGAACGTAGTTAAGATTTTATTAATTTTAATTTTGAAAAACTTTTTTCAGCCGAAGCTACAATTACAAGAATAGTTAATAGTATTCTATATGCTATCCATGCATCTAGAAAAGAATTTACCTTTTTTATAAAATTTAGTATGGTAAGTGATGTTTTCATTTCCATAGTTATAATTTCTTTTAAAACTTTTAATTCTGAAAATAAATCTAAACCATCAATATCAAAAAGCATATTGTACTTTAGAAAGTTTTCAAGATTTAAATATATTTTTTTTGAAAATATCATCATCAAGTTATTTTAATTTTTCTACACTATAAAGAAAACAAAAAATTATCTTCATATATTTTAAATTGTTCAAACCTATTGTGAAGAGAGGAAATCGCATGATCAACTAAATATGTTAAATAATTAATTCTAAAAGATTCTTGAATAGATAATTTCATGTTTTCATTTTCAATCTCATCAAATTGTTTCTTTCTAGTAATAATAAAATTAAAATATAATTATAAAAAGAGTAAGAAACTTTGGCACCTGATTATATTTGCTTGACACACCTAATCAAGTAAACCCGGAGAGAATCACTCGAGAAATTTGCATAAATTAAAAAATTACCTTCGGATTCTTTTGCCAAACTAATTAGAAAAGATTTTATAAGAGATCCCCGATTGTTTGGAGAAGAAAAGAAGTATAATAACAAAATTTGAAGATCTAAAAATTGTTTCACTCATAAATATTTTTCTAAAACTTTTCCGTAAGTAAAAGTGTCTCACTAAAATAAAAATTGAAAACTTTTATAAGTAGAAGGTAACTGAAAAAACATCTAGAAAAGGTAAAATTTTTAACGTTGAAATAATAATATCTCCGAACAATTGGTAGTTTTCTCTTATGATTTCACATCATGAAATACATATTTTCCCCATCCTTAACAAGAGAGCAAACCAAAAGGCACCAACTTCTGTCAACATATTTGACAAAAAAAAAAAATTTTGAAATGCAAACGAAGCAATCACTTAATAAATCATATATATATATATATATATATATATATATATATATATATATATATATATGAAAGGCTCTTTCATTGAAAGATTAACCATATATAGGTAATAGCTTAATATATCTTTATATAATTAGACAAGTCTCCAAAAAAAAAATATATATATATATATATAAATTGTCTATTATGTCTATGTATTGTATTTAATTCTCCAATATCATTAAATCAAATTTTTTCATTCAAATTGACAAAATTGTAATTTTCCTTCCAAAATTGCTCAAAATATTTCAAGAAATAATTAAGTTTCAAGATTACTCAACCATTAAAATTTTTATAAAATAAAAATTTTAATTTTTTCAAAAAAAGTCAAAATTATATTCGTGGATAGCTCAATTTTAGTTTTAAAATGAAAAATATAATTATGTCAATTTGGATGGAAAAAGTTGATAGAATGACATACTGGAGAATTAGATATTATACATAAATATAATAGATATAATTAAAAATAAAAAGACAAATTAGAGACTTGATCAATTATATAAAGATAGATTAAGCTATTTACCCATCATATTTGAGTAAACAATTGTTGTTTTTATCTGCCATTGTGGCAAGTGCCTCATTCAAGCTGTAATTGATGTTTTGAGCTGTGCCAAGTACCTCGTTCAGGTTGTAAATGTTGTTTTGAGCTGTAACAAGTGTCTCCTTCAAACTGTAATCATTGTTTTGAGCCGCAATTGTGGCAAGTGTCTCATTCAAGTTGTAATTGTTGTTTTGAGCTGTGACAAGTACCTCATTCAAGCTGTAATTATTGTTTTGAGTAGTGGCAAGTGCCTCTTTCAAGGTATGCTGTAAACAAATAATGATCATAAAATTGTTAGAAAATATTGATAATCTGACCATAAAAAAGAGATAGAATGATAAGACATTATATGTATATTTGTTTAAAAAACATCTCAACTTAAAAATTTACACCGCTATATGAGGCTAGAGAAATGGTTTTATATTCATTCTCCAACATGCTTTCAAATAGAAATTCTTTAAGTTTGATCTTTGCCCAAAACTTTGGTTAAAAAGTATAATACTGTATTAAATAATCATCAGAATCTAGATTAGAATAATAGAATGTTCATAAGTAAACGCAAGAGAGTTTTTATAGTACTGCATTACCAACTGCTTCTTGAGCGCCAACATCTCCTCTGCATTTCTTTCTTTTAAAGCATTCACCTCTTCTGCATTTCTTTCTTTTAAGGCATTTATCTCCTCTGCATGTGTTTCTTTTATGGCGTTCATCTCTCTTTTATATTGCTCCCCTAAGGCAATCAGGTTCTGCAAAAAGTGTGTATAAGTAATTAATGGATACTATATGAGAAAAGATTTAATTAGAATTCTATTTGATGTGTGTGTGCTTATGTCTATATATATATATATATATATATATATATATGCATGCATGCAAGTATGGTAAGAATAGAATTTACTAGAAAAGTTCCACAAATTGAGACCAAATGGAATCAGAAAAGTAGTTCAAAGAGTGTGGTACATAGAGTGAATTAGAGGGTGAGTACATTAGAGATATATATTTGCTTCCTCACGGGAAAAATAATAATAATAACTCTTCATTTTTGTTTTTTTGGTACAAAAAGGGATTCCAGGCCCAAGAAACAGAAAATGACATTGGAAATAGATTACTTCCTCAATTCCTTTTTGTATAGTGGATGTATGGATCGGAAAGAAAAGCTTACCCTTACGAGTTTCTTTTCACGTTTATTCTGTCTCTCTTGATGGACCTCCAAGCGGATATTTTCCTTTCTACTTTCTTTTAGATCCTTTTCCAGCTGATCTGCTCGTCCTTCAAGGCGACATTTGTTTTCCTCAAGTATTACTATCTTTGCCTTCATGCTGTTTTCTATTCCCTGCAGAGTAGATAGCAAAAAGAAATGAACATGAGTGAGTTATTTATGATGTGAAAGCAAGGACAAACAAACAAATAAAGAAGCAAGTAACACGAAGTAGTGTACTAGAGAGAGATAGGAGAAACTCTAGTTATGACGTATTAATAGAGAGAAGAATGGTGTCTCATATTTAGTTGGAGACTGCACTTTTTAATTTATCTAATTCTTCACGGATATAAGTTTAGAATAAAATTTTAATTGGGGCCCTTTGTATGGGGGCCTATGCCTTGAGCCAGCACTGCTAATAAGGGGAACCATATAAATCCCTAATACAAGGATGTAACCTGTGACCTTTTATTTCAACATATACAAAAAGGCATGTCAAGTATTAGTTTTCAATTTTGGAAGAAAGGTGAATTTGAATTATTAATAAAAGTCATACATTGGTTTCAAAAAAGAAATCCCTTTTCAAATAGCTCTAAAAGAATGGAGGGAATTTGTTAATTTTGAACGTAAATTGTTCTGTTCTGGAGAAATTGGTTCCATTTACATGTTTTTTTTCTTTTTCTTTTTTTTTTCTGTGGATTAAGAGGTTACATGTCAAGGGTTAATTGAGAAAGTTTTGAAAAATTCAGAATAGCCATTAATACGTTCTGGGAACGAAAATAGTAACTTGATAAGGTGAACAGTGCACTAAACCCAACTGCCCTATGATTGCAATTAGTACTTTTATCCTAAATTATGCAATTAATTTGGTCTTCACGAATTCTATCAATTAATTTCTCCAAATTGTATAAGAATAAAAAAATTACCATTTCTCAAAAACAACAATAATTTACCTTTCTTTCAAGGAGTTAAGCTTTCACAATCGTCATGTCCAGCTGTTCAGACAGCCTTCTCAAAATCGGTTCCTTTTTCTTCGATCAAGAGAGAAAAATGCGATGGGGGTGGGGGGAGCACAGAGGACGATGCACATGCCAAAAACAGGACCCATTTCCATTGCAAAACAATTGAAGCATGCACATGTGCTTGTCTCTCATCCATAGGCGTGGCCCAGACTACTGTAGAAAGGAAAATGGCACCTTCGTTAGTAGATGGCAATACAAGCATCTTCCGCGTAAAGTGACTAAGCCTTTTTAAGTTGAAGCATTGGGTTCCGTGGGGTATGGATAGCACGATGGGTGGCAATACAAGCATCTTCCGCGTGCTTATTTTTATTGTTTTTTCTGCATGCTTGGTTAAGAGTTTGTTTTCAGAAAGGATAAAAAGAGTAGACAGCACCACATGTTTTTATATAACGCCCCAAATTTTCTAATATTCTATACATTTTAAAACAATATTATTATATTCATGTACAAATAGCATTGTTAATTTTCTAGAAAAATGGATATGAAACATAACCTAAATTATATACTTGAATACAACATCCTTAATAAGAGTTTATTTTGTAAGAAATCTATAATTAAAGACCTAATATTTTTAAGGAGTGAACAAAAATGGTTAAGTGACATATAAATTAATAACTTTCTTATTTTTTATGAAAAAATAACAACTCATAAGCAATATACATTTATTCCTTATAAAATAAATATTAAAAAAATGGCTAACAAAAAATATTTTCTAACTCAAATCCATCAACAGTGTCATATTAAAAAAATATAAGGGCGTGTTAGTTTTTTTTTTAAAAAAAAAAATCATTTTCTCCAAACATCGTTTTTGTTTTTTTTTTTTGCCTATTTTTTGCTAAAACAAAAAAAAAATCTCTTTGAACTTCTATGATATATATATATATATCAAAATTTATATAAAAAGTTTATTTGTATAACATTACTATTCCTCAAATTAATTAGTAGTAGCACAGTATTATATCATGTTGGTAAAATTCCAACACACTCATTTTGAAATCAATAAATTGGATTCCTTCACATTAAACAAAAGAAAAAAAACAAATAAATAAATAACTACCAACCCAGAGCCAGCTTTATAATATATATAACCTTAGGCAAAATAATATTTTTCTTAACAATTTTCAACTATATTTTCATTTAAATCTTTATCTTGTTCTTTTAGTGTTTAGGGTTTAATGTTAGTAACAAATCTATCAAATGCACCTTTTTGGGATTGAATTAGTTCTTCTACCTTTTTTTTTTTTTTTTTTTTTTTTTTTTTTTTTTACATTTTTCATATCCAGATTCATACTTTCTAATAGACATTTTATTCAAATAATAAAATTAAAATATAATTATAAAAAGAGTAAGAAACTTTGACACTTGATTATATTTGCTTGCCACACCTAATCAAGTAAACCTTGAGAGAATCACCTTAGAAAATAAAAGAAATTTGAGAAAAAAATAAAATATTATATGATTTATATACATAATTTTATTTGCATAGATTAAAAAATTACCTTCAAATTCTTTTGCCAAGCTAAGAGATCCCCGATTGTTTGGAGAAAGAAAAGAATATAATAACAAAATTTGGAGATCTAAAAATTGTTTCTCACAAATATTTTTTTGAAACTTTTTTGTAAGTAAAAGTATCTCACTAAAATAAAAATTAAAAGCTTTTATAGGTAGAAGATAATTGAAAAGACATCTAGAAAAGATAGAATTTTTAACGTCGAAATAATAATATCTCCGAACAATGGGAATCTTTCAATACAGGAACTTTAGTACCTATGACCTGTTAATAGAAAGAAGAATGATGTCTCATACTTAGGTAGAGACTACATCTTCTAATTTATCTCATTCTTCACGGGTATAAATTTAGAGTAAAATTTTAACTAGAGCCCCCTTTCTATGGTGGCCTAGGCATAGTCGTTACTGCCTATGCCTTCAGCTGACACTATACCAACCTTTAAAAACATATGAACCAGCAGCTCACTTGAAGGAATAGAATTTTAATCTATTCCATGTCATAGAATGGGCCCACATCCATCTTTTCCATCCCCTAATCAAGCACTTGAGAAAACAACACAAATCAACCTAATAAATTCCATCCCCTAATCAAGCACTTCAGAAAACAACACAAATTAACCTAATAAAATTTTCTCAGTGCTACGGTAGATGGCAGGTAAACGAAGCACCCGCTCACCTAAAGCATTAAAAACGATAGTACTTAGCATATTTAACGCGGAAACCATCAAGAAAGAAGAGAAAAAGCAAAAAGTAAAAGAGAAAAGAAACGTTTGGAGACAAAGAATTGTTTGTTTTATATGAAGACTCTCTCCTATTCTTGCTAAGATTCTTAAAAAGAAAACAGTTCTCTTTGAAATCAAATCCAAACTTAAGATTTATCTTAAAACTAGATAATAATTATCCTATCCTGTCACATACTAAAGTAAAACTATCTGATATCATACCGGCCTTTCCTGTAGTCTGTTGGCGTGATCTTTGCACCAAATCCATCACGTAAGACTATTGTGTGTTCTTAAAAACACGAAGAACTTTGCATCAAAATTCGTATATGCGAACCTGACTGACCACTAAGAAATTCAGAACTAACTAAAATAAAGAGGAGGGTATGGGAGATATCAAGACTTTATTTCCAGGAAGGTAAAGGAGAAAAGAGTAGATAAAAAAAATCGGAAATAAAATCAAACTCACAAGCTTAATTATGGTATGGAATTTACAAATGGTTGCAGCCGCTGCACACAAAAAAGATTAAAAAAAAAAAAAACATAAGATATGGAATTGGCAGATCTGTGATCATATCCTTTTGATCTCTCTCAAACAGCTACCTACACACTCGTAACATGCGCGCAAATAATATACAGAGAAAGCACCAGAGAGAACTAACAGATCAGGCAGGAGGAGGAAAAAAAGAAAACGGGAAAAACAAAATAACGTACGTGTGAGCTGCGGTGAGAAAAATTCCGGTCGGCCAACCAAGGGTCGAATTTCCTTTTGCCCATACGAAACAGCTCAACGGAAGTTTATATTCGTGCCTCTATGTCAGTCCCTGAAGGAAATCAGATGAAGACAAGTTCTACTAGCTAGTTCTCCAGAGGTGAAGAAATCGAATCAATGGAACGTAATTTTTAGCTTGGGAATGAATAGCGATCTGTGATCATATCCTTTTGATCTCTCTCAAACAGCTACCTACACACTCGTAACATGCGCGCAAATAATATACAGAGAAAGCACCAGAGAGAACTAACAGATCAGGCAGGAGGAGGAAAAAGAAAAAACAAAACGGGAAAAACAAAATAACGTACGTGTGAGCTGCGGTGAGAAAAAAAATTCCGGTCGGCCAACCAAGGGTCGAACTTCCTTTTGCCCATACGAAACAGCTCAAAGGAAGTTTATATTCGTGCCTCTATGTCAGTCCCTGAAGGAAATGAGATGAAGACAAGTTCTACTAGCTAGTTCTCAAGAGGTGAAGAAATCGAATCAATGGAACGTAATTTCTAGCTTGGGAATGAATAGCGATTGCTTTAGAATTGAGTTTTTCAGGATTTCTTTTTTTACGGTAGAGTATTATTCAGGATTTCTTTGATCGGTGTAGAATTGGGGAAAAACAACCAGAAAAACAGAAAAAGAGAGAAAACAAAATGGTTCCAAACGGCGAGAAAGAGGGTGGGCGCATGAGGGGATAGTTTGAAGAAGGGAGAGGATAGAATTGTGTGATCTTTTTCTTTTACTGTCTTTTTCTGGAGAGGGACAAGTCATAAGATTTTAATCAAAGGAAGGCACAGGAAATTATGTCCGGTCCTACGTGGGGACGGAGGGGATCATAACCATTTATTTATTTATTTTTTTTTTTTTTTTTGAAAATTTCGCATATACCTTTGTTTTTAACTCCCCAAGTTTTAAAATTTTAATATACGTCATCTTATTTTTAAAATCCTTTTGCACCTAACAATGACTTTTAGGTTCTCTCCTCCTCCCTCAAATATTTTTATCCCAGTCCGCCGTGACGAGAAACTAATTTTTACTAGGCTACAAAAATATAAAGTCAAGATACTGCCTAAGAATATCACTGGTTGAATCAATATTTCACTAATATATCACAAAATAATTATTAAATATTTAACTAATCTATAAATATGTCTAATTAAATAAGGATATTACTATTGTTGTTTGAAAGTTGAATTCAAATACAAAAGATTAATGGTCTTATTTTATATGTGAAATACAGGTAGAGTGATGTACCTACTCTAACATCTATCCGATATGATTGTTTGAAAGTTAAATTCAAACACAAAAAACTTAGGACTCTATCTTATATTTGAAATGGAGTTTGAAATAAAAGTAGAGTGATGTACCAACTCTATCTTCTCTCATATATATATATATATATATATATAAAATACAAGGCATTCTCACATAGTATCAAAGCACTTCACCTTCTTTACATTCTCTCGTTCCTTTTTCTTTGCCTACGCCTACCATTGTCATCCTTTTATCAGACCATTGTATAAGTTCTCTTTCCAGCAAACCTATTACTATACTCTATCTGCACACTTTGCCAAAACCTATTGCCTAAATCTTTTACATATGATCCTACCCTTTATTTTATCTCCTTCACATGTCATTTTTGTTTTTCATAATCACCATGTCTGCTACATCTTTTGCTATTCTTCTACACCTTCCCACTCAAATTCTACCACTGTTATCATTCCTAACTCAACCCAATTACCCATTAAACTCTCTTCTATAAATTACCTTCTATTACAAACTCCATTATACTTTCTCTTATGTGGATACAACTTAGTCCATCATGCACATTGATGACTTTGTTATTCCTCCATATACCCTTTCTTGCTAATAATGCTTCAAATCTTAAATACTCTGTTTGGTTCTAAAATGATCAACTTATCTTAAGTTGGATCACCTGCTCCTTTACAAAACCTACTCTCTCTCAAATAATGGGTGCTGATACAACTCACGATGCATGGTAGAAACTTGTCAAAACTTATGCTTCTAACTTAGTTACTTAGGTTCATCAACTCAAAACCTCACTCCATCACCTAAATTGAAAGAATGATTCCATCTTTATTTACATGACACGGGCTAAAACTATCTTTGATCAACTTTCTGCTCTCAATCATTTGTTTCCTAAAGATGATTTTGTCTCTGATATTCTTGGTGGCCTTATACAAACATATTGTCCCTTTGTTCACAACATTAAGGCAAAACTTCAACCCATTTCCTATGATGAGTTGTATGATCTTGTCCTTAGTGGGAATCTCAACTTGCAAATGATGAGTCTTCCTTTGATTTTGTTCCTTCAGTAGCACACTATTCTACCTGTACCACACCCTTAAATCATGGTAGAGGTAGTAGATATGACAGCTTTGGGTCATAAGGTCGTGGTCATTTCTTTTACGCATCTAAAACAAACCAACAAAACACTCAAGGTATTCTTTCTATTCCTTTTGGTTCCACCCCATATAATAATTCTCGTAGCCTCATCCAATCCCTGAATTAATGTGGCCTTGGACACATAGTCCGCTACTATCTTAGTCCAAAAATTCATCACCCTTCTCTTTTCCACAATCGGCCTCCCACTTCCCTCTTGGCTTCTAGCTCTTGATCTTGAATTTTGGACTCATGTGCAACTCATCATTTAACTACTGATTTGAAGAACCTTGGTATTCATTCTGAATACACTGGTCTTGAAGAAGTTTAAATAGGTAATGGATCAAAACTTAATATCTCGAATATTGGTTACAATATTGTCTCCATTGATAAAAATTCCTTCACTTTAAATGCCATTTTACATGTCCCTAAAGCTCTGCGTAGCTTATTATCAATCTCCTTATTTATTAAAACTAATAATATTTTTGTTGAATTTTTTCCTTCCTACTTTATTACCAAGGATATTCGGACAAAAAGAGAGCTTTACCATGACATAACAAATAATGGTCTTTATTATATGTTATGCTCCTCCAAACTACTACCTATTCAAGCCAACCTAGCATCTCTTTCATCTTGGCATACCGGGCTTGGTCATGCTTCAATTATAAATGTTAAGCTCGCATTAGCCAATTCCTCTATTTCGTTTTCTAATAATATGTCTTTAAAACTTTATGAAACTTTTACTAATAAAGCCAAGAAATTATCATTGTATGATTCTAATTTTTAGGTTGAAGGTTTGTTAGACTTAATTTGTTTAGACCTATGGGAACCCTTCCTTATTTACTTTTCTAAAGAGACTCGCTATTATGTCCTTTTTTTTATAACTTCGAGTAAATATATCCGGGTATTTTTAATAAATTCGAATATGAGGTTTTAAGTGCCTTTATCAAAATTTTCCATCTCATTGAAATTTTTTTTAACTATTCCATTAAATCTTTTCGAGTCGATTAGGGTGGTGAATACTAAGCTTTAACCTCTTATTTATGAGACAATGGCATCACTCAACGTAGTTCTTATCCTTACACACTCAAATAAAATGGATGTGCCAAACATAAACATCAACACATCGTCGAAACTAACCTCACCTTACTCGCACCATTCCTTTGTCCTTTATCCTGTTAGCCTCAAGCTTTTGATATAGTAGCCTATATCATAAATAGAATTCCAACATCTCTCCTCAACTACAAAATCCTTTTGAAGCCTTACTTAAACAATAATCCGATTATACTTTCTTTTAAAAAATTAATTGTTAATGTTACCCATGGTTATGTTCCTATACTTCTCATAAATTAGCTTCTCGCTTTAAATTTCATGTTTTCTTAGGTTATAATAAACTTCATTAAGGTTACAAAAGCTTACGACTCATCTCATTCACTCGCAGTCATCACTCCAATATATCATCCAACCACATCTTATGACTCATCTCTACAAGCATGCCATAAATCACTCACGGAGGAAAAAAAAAACTAATTTATTATAGGAATAAAAATCAAATATAATATGATTAAAATTAAAAAATTAAAAAATAGGAACTAAAATGTAAAATTTATTAAAGCCAAAAGAGAGGCTTAAAAAAATGCAATAGGAGAAAGGGAGGGGGAAAAAAAACGCAAAAGGTGAACAGGAAATGAATTTTTAAAGCCAAAAGAGGGGAGCCAAAAGAGGGGCTTAAAAAAATGCAGTAAGAGAAAGGGAGGAAAAAAAAAAAAAAGAAAGAAAACGTGAACAATAAATGAATAGAAAAATTAAAAAGTTTAAAATAAAATTTTAATATTTATTATAGAGATAAAAATCAAATATAATAAAATTTTTATTACCAAAATAAAAAAAGTTACAAAATAGGGGCTAAATAAAAATAAAATTTGCTAAAAGTTAAAAAAGAGGCTTAAAAAATGGAGCAAGAGGGAAAAAAAATTTATTTAAGAATAAAAATCAAATATAATATGATTAAAATTAAAAAAATTATAAAATAGGGATTAAAATGTAAAATTTATTAAAACCAAAAGAGAGGTTTAAAAAAATGCAATAAGAGAAAGAGAGGGGAAAAAAAAAACGCAAAAGGTGAACAAGAAATGAATTGTTAAAGCCAAAAGAGGAGAGCCAAAAAAGGGACTTAAAAAAAATCAGTAAGAAAAAAAAAGAAAAAAAAACGTGGACAGTAAATGAATAAGAAAAGTGCTACAGTAATTTTTTTCATTTTGGTTTAGCATATCTTGTAATACTTAATTTGTTTTGCAAAACTAGAGAATAATTTTATAATTCATTCTCTTAGAAAAAAGAGGCAGTTTCGCCGGTCCCACCGACAAGAGAAGCTACCCACTTTACTGATAGGCGACGTGGCAAGCATTCAGCCTTGTTCTTTTATTTACTAAGGCCCCACTTGGGGCAGAGGTTTGTGATAGCGTTTGGAGCTACAATCGAGGGGCATCTTTTTTTTTAAAAAAAAAAAAATTTGACTCAGGCATCCGTGGCCCCACAATATAAGGATAGAAGCGATACTTTTAGAGAATATGTAGAGTAAATTATCAACTAGGCCCGCTACGTGAAATAAATTAATTAATCATCTTCTTTCAAAAAAAAATTAATTAATTAATTAATTAATTTAATTTATGTTATTTTTTTTATTTATATCAAAAAAATATAAAAAATAAATAAAAATAATATAATATTAAATTAAATATAATCAACATCAAAAAAATAAATTAAATAATTACTTTTTAAACTAAGATAGATTAATTGATTTGTTTCTTAAAATAGATGGATTAATTTATAAATAATCTATTAGTATTTTTTTCTTTAATAATATCGATACAAATGGACTTTAACAGCACATTTATTCACGGATTACATTTGAATATTTTAAAATTCTTTTTCAAGTTTGATAAATTATGATACGGTAAACTTGGACGTAGCAACAATAAAAAATTGTGGGCTCACTGGTCAGTTCAGGCATTCGGATCCTACTCTACTGTGCCTTGTAGACATTAGTTTAAGGACAAACCAGCTAGGCTAACTGTTGCTATGTAGTTAATTTCATTAACAATTGAACTTGGTGCCTCATTTCATTTGTTCCCATGTTGGTTTCTATGGACACAAGTTTATGGTGACATCTTAACGTTTGCAGCTGTCAGAGGAGTTGGACACATCTTTGGCATTGTTTACAGCATTTCTATCAGGGAGTCCTTTGAATCTTGCCTAACAAAAAACATGGAACAAGTTTGAACACTTTCTATTTGAAGCTATCCATCATTCTAACGATAATAATAGTAATGAATTGATCGAAATTGGAAATTCGTCAACGCTTAGCCCTTAATAGCTTCAGTAACCAGACAAACATTAATCAAGCTTCGCAAGGTTAAAAAACTGAGCTTAAATGAATGATATTTTTTTAAAAAAAGTTTGAGTCATTAATGGAATTTTAAGTATTTAATGGAAGAATGATGGTATAAAGTTTAGGGACCATGAAGCACTGCTGTTTCCCTCAGCCATTTGGTCTTGATTGCCATTCTCAAAAACAATCTTGCCTAAACAGTTTCTTAACTATAAGTTGCATGATAATTAAAGCAAGTTTTGCCAAAGCAAAACGATTTAGCCAAATTATCTCTAGTGATTCTAAGTCTAACAAAGCCAGCAATGAAATTATCATGAATGTGACAAAAGAAGAGCAGCCAGTCCCGTCAGCTTTATAGGACAAGAGTTAGAGACATGTATAATTTTAGACCAAAGATGTTGTATCTTTTGTAACATGCCTTTGCCATTTTCTCTCTCTCTTTTTCTAACTAGTAGTTTGGATGATATTTGCTCGTATAGCAGAACATAAATGTTATGGCAACTTGCTGACAACATAAATCGATTGGGAGAGAATAAAGTTTATCTAGAGACTAGAATTCAAGAGAACTTTTCTTGCTGGATAGGAATTAAATGAAGGAATCTTGTATTAAAAAAAAAAAAAAAAAGAGCTTCTGCAGAAGACCTAAACTTTGGTGGAAAAGTAATTGTTTTTAAGCCAAAAGAATGTGTTCTCGACTAATTATGTTCCTGCCAAGAGTTCCTTAACATCGCCTTTCTTTTGTACTGCAGAAGCGAACATGCTGTAACCAGCAGGGGCTGGTTTCTCTTATTCTGCCAATCAATCTTTCTATGACTTGGTGAATGACGCTGTCACAGGTATGAATTTCCTGCTCCAACAATTTGGTAGCTTAAATTCTGAACATCATACCCTAGTCTTCTGATAAAAAAACTTACTACAAACTTGTTTTTAATCAGATGACCACGTTAATAAGTATTTACCTATGAGCATCATCATTCTTTCTGTATTTTTTTTGCTGTTCTGTGCATAAATATTTGGAGAATTTTTTTTCCAAAACTCAATATATTAGACTTCCTTCTCTTCAGCACAAGACAATTTTATATTCCTGCAGCAATGGTCTTCCAAAACTCGGAGGGTGACTACTACTGGTCTCATGGGTTGATATCAGATGCTACTTACGAACTGCTAACTTCAGTTCGTAACGCTTCACAGCTATAGAGACAGAGAGAGAGAGAGAGCACAACAGGCTCCAAGTTTGGTGCTTGTGTGGGTGTCAATGAGAGACTTTCAATAGAATTTCCTAATGCATTTGATGATTACAACGCCATTGGCGACATTTATATATCATCTGGTCAATCATCCAGTTACCCCTTTAGACGGAGGTTTGAAGTTGCATCATCCACTCAATCGGTACAAGAACATCTCAACGAGAATGTAAGCTCTCCATGTGTAACCTTATTGTGAAAGAAGTTAAACCTTTGCTTTTAACATTACCATAGGGTTATTTTGGCTTCTCTGTGTGCAGAAAGATGCTGAAAATGTAGATGTTTGTGTGCAAGAAAAAGCATCTAAATATTTGAACAGGAAAGATGTGGAAGAAGCTCTTCATGCGCAGCTTGTTGGAGTCGCCAAATGGGCAGGTTGCAGCGGGTAATAATTCATAGCTTTTGAAAATGGTTTGGGACAAAATGATAGCTAGCTTTTCAATTTGCAGTAGCAAAAATACTAGTACATGATACACAGTGCTCTTCTTTCCTAATATTTTTGTGCTATCATTCTTAACATCAATTTCTAAAACATCAAATGCCAATATATACTTCTTGTAATTCAATCCTGTACAAAATAACTGTAGTTTAAGATTTATAATTAAGATACAAAATTCTCTTGACTTTGAAGTTTGAAGAAGGACAGCTTTCTTGATGTTGCAGGTGCCTTTTTACCGTTTTTTTTTTTTTTCCTGAATTATGGATAATAGTTTTTTTCAATCTGCTATTTACTTCTTTTTAGGGTGATGAATTATGATAAAAGAAACTTTGCGATACCTACAATTAATATTGTGGGCTCTCTGGTCAGTTCAGGCATCTAGGGCTTGGTCTACAGGTAACTTAACAAAGCTTTTCATCTCTTATTTACAATCACCAAATGTTATTACTGTTCATTACGTAGGTCGACATAATCTCTACAGTGGATATGAAGATTCAGTTGTCCCATTTATTGGGAGTAGAATTTTGGTTGAGGGTTTGGCCAAGACCTATATTAGAGACTAGTATAAATTATATTCTAGGATCTCACTTATCGAGCTTAAGCATTTAGGTGAGATGGTACTTTAATATGGTATCAGAGCTTGGTTGACCTTGGGGTCACTGAGTTCAAGTCTCACCATTCTCAATATCTCAAGTATTAAGCACAAGACAGGGCCTTTCACTTGAGAACTTAATCTTTTAGGTGAGATGATCTTTTAACAACCTATAACTAAGTGCAACTGTGCCTTCCTCATTTCTGTTGGTTAAATGTTTCTTTCCAGGTTGTTGGATGGACAGAAGTTTATGGAGACATCCTAACATTTGCGACTATCCGAGGAGCTGGACACTTAGCACCATTGACATCTCTGACGAGATCCCTTGCCTTATTTGCAGCATTTCTATCTGGGAAACCCTTTCCAGAGGCATAATCAAATTAAAACATGATAGTGTTGAGTAGAAGTGAAATGCATTTATGTGTTCATGCCTGATCAACAATGCCGATTACAATCCCTGTGCCTGGAATAATAATTTGAACGCAATTGGAGAAATTCCACAATGCCTCTTTGATCTTTATTTACTTAAGGAAAATTATTACAATCAAAATCTAATCTCTCTGTTTTATTTTATTCTTGGAGGAGAATTTGTAATGCCATTGACGATAGTACGAAAACTAAATCGATGAAAATCGAATCTAATGATCTGATAAGACAACTAAAAGTCTAAAACCAATGATACCTGAACCTTGTAATCGCCATCTTAAATTAATGTAGTCCAGACTCGGCAGGGTGACAGTACTGCAGTTCCTAACTAAATATTGCCAGTTAATGCTAGATCCAGATTTTGTTGAAAAAGAAGCATTCTACTTTCATCCAACCTTATAACTACTTCAATTCCATCACCATCTTTAGTGTCTAAAATCACAATAGCACTATAATTGTTAGTTTTATCCACGAGACGCACCCAAGAGGGCTTTCCCCATCCAAAATCTGTTTCATACAATGGGAACCGACACAAAGAACTTACCATATAGAGATCTGTCTCGGGTTTTTCCCAGGCTTCACTCGCCTCCCTCATTTTCTTGATCTTGATCCAAAATAAGTCATCCCCACTCGAAGCTTTCGCAAAATCATCGACCAAGCTTCTTGTCGCAGCATGCACCCGATTTACGAAGTCACGAAGCTCAATCTTGCTCCCATCATCTGGCACGAATTCCGCAATCGCGAAGTTTACAAAGTTTCCACAAGAATACTCCGGCATAGTTATACTTGTCTTCCCTCGCATATTAACTACAATTCCAAAGATGGAAGGCCTCAAGTGGCCGTGGATAGCTTGGGCTACCTTTGTGAGAATCATCCACACAAGTCCTGTCACAACCTCCACTCGTGTCGGTTGGTGTTTCAGCAGCTGATTTGAATCATGAGTACTTGTAGCAATTTCTTTCAGCTTTGATATTGTTGCACGGTTAAACACGAAAGTTTTCTTGACAACCTTGTTAATTTCTCCACCTCTTGTCGGATCGCAGACGGAAGAGATAGTAGGTATGTTCTTGGGCGGAAAAAGAGAGCCGAATGGGAAGCTCGGACGACAATGTACCTTTTCAATCCCAATTCGGCAAGCAGTGGCCCAAGCATTGACGAATGTGCCTATCGTGTATCCATCAGCTATACTGTGTGCCATACATGTGCCAATAGCTAGGCCTCCACAATCAAACATGTTGAATTGAATGGTTAAAAGAGGGCTGTTCTCCGGTTGGAAATTTCCTGGTACCAAATGCCACCACATTTCAGTCTCAAGTTCTTCTCTTTCGAGAAGTTGAGAAAGGGAACCACTAACTTGAGCTTCCAAATACTCTGCTCCCTTGTCATTACACTCAATTGAGAAATTTTCTTTTATGCTTCTTCCCCCTAGTGGGTAAAAGAGGGTTAAGGTTTCAGATAGTGATTTTTCCAATTTCTTGCTTCGCTCTGCATTGTTTCCACCATGGTCTTCACCATTGGGTAGGTAGTAGAAAAGAAAGAGCCCATGCAAGGGAGCAGCAAGCTGGTCGAAACATGATAATTTCAAGTTCTGAAGGTTGGGTGGAGTTGGAAACGATGGAGCTATGAACTTTCTAGATAGGATCTGAACCTTCATATTCAGAATTCAAGTTGTGCCTCAAGAAATGGAAAATCACAGGATAGCCTTTGTTTGGCAGGATTTTCCTGTCAAGAGGAATGCTTGAAATATCCTTTGCACAAACTAATGGGAAAATTTATATAATTAAGTGCATCAATACCTTCTTTTAAATATGTTATCATCGATATATATAGTTTTTACAGAACTAAACAAAAGAGATGTTGTTGGTGCATTTTAATATTAATGAATTAAGTGCATGGAGTTAAGTAATTTAAATTGACATAAGTTAGCTAAAGACAAAAAATTAATGCTTTAATTAGGTTGTAACGTGTTTTGTTAAAATTGCAAATTAATTATTGCATTTCAATGACATGGATGTATCATAACGTGTAATCCAAGTAACTTCAACCAGAGGAAGTTTAAGATGAGCAATTGGTCATAATAAGAAAAACTTAAACAAGAACCTAGAATTTAAGAGGGAAGGAAATGTGTGTTCATGTGTCATCATAAATTGGTGGAAAATGTAATTAATTAATATTAGGAATCTTTTCTTCTTCAGTTGAATTAGAACAAAATTAGAAGAGTCAATATCCTTACCTTCGAACTCTTAAGTTTGAGCCTCACAGTCCAAATTCACGAGAAAATCAAAATTTTTACGTACATCAATCTCAAAGAAATCTTCATTATATTTTAGTAGTTGAATCCAATCTGACCAAAAAAAAAAAACCGAAAAAAAATTCAGTTTCAAGATCATCCTATCTTTTTGTTACTAAAATTTCTCATGTTGTGTCCTTAATTGAAGGAGGTCAAGTTTGCACTTGATTTGCTCAAGTTGCATTCTGATTAGCAATAGCTTCTTTCTTTTGTTATAAGATAAATAGAACTTGGTATAGCTATACACTTGAAATTCGTTCTGGTCACCAAGAGTTCTAATATCAAATTGACACCGGATTTGTAAAGATAAGAAACAAACGGCACAAAATCAACCCTATTTATATTAGCTCCAAACAGAGAAGAAACTAATTAAAAAGTTTCTAAATGCACTAATTCTACCATCGATCAATTTACCCTTCAATTTATATTGGCTTCATTTTGGTAGAATATATTACAATTTCTTCCATTAAAATTTGATAGGATAATGCAAAGGATGCTACTTTCTTTAGTTTTTGTACAAATGATAGACGTACGGATGAATATATATATATATCTTTGGGATTTAATGGGAAAACTTCATACCTGAAGGGAAAATTTTGAAACTCGTCCTTTCAAGAAACATAGGCTAAGAACATTAAACAAATTCTAGATCCAATTAAGAAGCCTATAAATAAATCAATTCTATACATTATATCCATTTATTAATTGATTACATCATCATGTTGTGTGTATAAAAAAATTTACTTGAAGTAAATTATTACATATCAAAATCTAAATTCTTGCAATTTATCATTTTCTTCTTATTTCTTGTGGCTGCTTTTCTGTTATTCTCAAGGATGATGAAGAGAAATTGTTACATGGACCTTGGTATAGCTATACACCAAGAAAATAACTTGACTAGGATCCATTATAGTTATTACGAGTTGGATACCCGTACTACGCTACGATCGGACAACAATTACGTATGTAAGGTTAACTATTTATATAGTGTAGTGCAAGTAAAAATTTTATTTCTTATAATTAATATAAATCAACTCTATTTGCTTGAGCAAAATTTTTTGATTTATATATATTTATTAACAAAAATAATCAATAATATTAGTATAAAAAATTGTATTTGAATAATTGAAAAGTTATTTCAAAACATTATTTTAATTATTTTATTTAAAAAATATTGATTTTAGAACAAAGAAAAAAAGAATAAATAATAAATAACTGGGTTTATGTGTGCAAATACATAATTAATTTATAAAAAAATAATTATGTATATTTCAATTATTTTATTTAAAAATATTAATTTTAGAATATGAAAAAAGAATAAATTATAAATAATTAGTGTTATGTATGCAGATACAAAATTAGTTTCTAAAACTATATATATATATATATATATATATATATATTGATCATACTTAATAGATTTATAGTATATATCATAAAAAAATATTTTTTAAAATAAAAATATAAATTGTATGGAATATATTAAAGTCAATAAATTGAAATAAAAATTAATACAAAATTAATTCTCATAAATCGACTTCTTAATTTATGATGAAAGAGATTCTTGAATTGAAAATTAAATTATAAATTAGTCCATCTCGTTTTGAAAAATGAATTAATTAATTCTTTTGATTTCAAAAATAAAATTTTTAATTTTTTAATCGGTGTTAACCAAAAAAATTTTACTTTTTTATTTTCAAAATGTTTTTCATATTTTTTTTATTCTTTCTCTATTTCTTAAACAACAAAATAGAACAATTGATATAGCAAAAAGAAAAAAAATATATATATATATATATCTTTTGAACCAAAGGGACTAATGCTCGTTATGTATGCGGATATATAATTAATTTCCAATAAAGCTGTAATGCTTGGTAATCGCTAAAATATGAATGTAATAAAGGTTTAATATTAAAACCGTGTGAATATATATATATATATATTGAGAATGAGAAATAATTACTAGAAACTTAAAAGAATATTTAGAAATGTTAAAATAGTTTTCCACGCTTAAAGAATATTTTAGTGATTTTTTGGTACATGAATAGTAGTAATTGCATGAGAAAATTAATTAAACTATGTTGTTTGTGTATGAAAAATATTTTTTTTTGTTTAGAATAATTGTTAGAAGGGTTTTATATTATTTTATATTATTTTATGAATTTTTCTACATATGGTGAATATTTTATTGAATTTTCTAAGTGGAGGAATAGTGTTTTTAGAGGTAAAGAATTTAATTAGGCAACTTAAGAGTATGAGAAATTTTTTTAAGTGCATAGAATAATCATATAGGATGTGTGAGAGTGCCTAGAAAAATTAAATTAATTTTAATAAGTATAGGGAATATTTTTTTATAGGAAATAGTGTAATTTTCACACTAAATAAATAAATTGAAGGCTCAAATTAGGGATAAAAATTATGAAAATTTTAAAAACAAATCCCTTAATGAATTTTTGAATTTATTCTTGAAATAAATTTGATTTTTAAAAAGTATAGAATGACATTTTAAAAGCGGGGACTAAATTGCATAAAATGAGAGACTCGATTGCATAAAATTAAAAGTATAATAATCCAAATTAAATTATTTGAGAATGTTAAGGGTTAAAAATTAATCATAAAAAATAAAAAGGAAGGATTAGAAGTGATTTGTTTCATAAAAGAGGGAATTAGGAAAGAATGGGCTATGGAAAAGTCTAGAAACTTGGAGGACCAAAATTTATCATTTTCCTCCCAAATTTGGCCCATCTAGAGAATTAATTAATTCTGACTTCCAGTAAAAATTATGGCAAAAAATAAGTAAGGTGGAAGGGATAAATAAAAAGGTGAATAAATGGCTAAAAATTGGGACAAATGCAAATGAATGATTGGAAATTGAATTAAGGGCTGAGATTTTCCCACATTAAGGGTGGAGATGAGATCAATAAGTCAACAAAATTTAATATAAATAGGGGTGCTAGAAAAATAAAAAGGGGAGAAAAAATTAAAAAATACAAAAGAAACTCTTACAAAATTTTCACTTAAAAATCACCCAAAATATTTTTAATAAATTCTTTCCAATAAGTAGAAGAAGCTTGAATTTTAAGTGGGAAGCCAAAAATCTCAAGGGAAAAATTCGAAGATCAAATTCAAAAATTTAGAGGAAAAGAGGAGAAAGAGAAATCCTTCACAAATCTAGCTTTTTAGAGTCTAATTGGAGCTCAAACAAGTAAATTAACCTCACCTACACCACAAGTATACTTAGTTTCAAGTCAATTTCATGTTTAATTTCTCAATTAAGAAAAAAATTAGGGTTAGGGTTCTTGATGAACCAAATTTAGGGGTTTCGAATTCTTTCATTTAATTGGTGTTTTGACACTTGATTCTTACTTATTTGAGCATTAATTAATGTTTAGGAATGAAAAATTTTACTTTAATTAAAGAAAAAATTTACTAATTTTTAGAAATTATATTTGGCCTAAACTAAACAAATTAGTGTTTGAGTTCAAAGCAATTTGATTCTAGTTTGGTTAGTCATATACGCTTAAATAAGTATATTTTGATGAGTTGAAGTGAAAAATTCATCAAAAGTTGAAGAAAATGGGTTTATGGGCTTGGGCCCAATTTCGGCCCATTAAGGCCCACTACGGGTTTGGACCATATTTCGGGTCCCAAATTTGAATTAAATTAATTCCTATAGTTTTTAAATATCTAGGCTACTTAGTGTTAAAATGGTGGGACAAAATGAGGAGAAAATGTTAGGATTCTAAATGGATCAAGTTTAAGCCTAAATGGAAATTTTGGAGAATTAGTTTTAAACCTTAAAATTGATGATTCAGACTCAAAACACAGTAAAAGGATGGTTTAGAATGAAAATGGATCATAAAAATTTAAAGAAAAATTGGGTTAGGAAAAATTGGGTCTTAGGCCCATTAAGGCCCAAACCGAAATTGAACCTCCTAAATCAATGAAATAATACCTAGTTAGATTGGAACATAAAATGATACTTAATTTGGTAAAGACCAAATATGGAAAGATAATTAAGATCATAAGGAAAAGAATTTAGGAAAGTAAAATGAAAGGTAAGTTTAATGAACAAAGAAATAGAACAAAAATGTTAATCTTTCTTTATGTTATGGTTATGTTCTTTCAAATGTTATATGAATGCATTAGGTTATAACTAATGATTATGCTTGAATGAGATTGATGATGAGAATTGGGTTATGATGATTGATGTGCCAATTTTAACGATGTTGGTTTATATTGGATTGATGTTATCTATGATGTTATGCTTGCTCAATTTTATATCGATTCTTATGACTTGGTTACATAACCATTCAAAGCAAGCATTCATGAATTCATACATCATGCTAGTTCATTGCAATTGC